TTCGAGACGAACATGACACAGAGGGCTATATAATAGCGGAGGAAGGATTGAGAGGCAGTCTCGTTTAGACCCAGGAACAGTGTGCATGGACAGCGGTGGATGATGTGTGGATTCAGCAGATGTTTTTGAGTGAATTTGTTCCAGTCCAACTTGGCGAAAAAAGCTGGCCAGTAATATGTCTGCAGGTCGTCTGAGTTTGTCTGTCAGGACAGCTGTTGTGTTTCGTTCACGGTGTTAGTGTAGGACAATTACGATTTCTGCTTGAAGGTAATATTTGATACTTGGGTTATAATGTGTGCCTGGACAGTTGTCTAGTTCATGTGCCGGCTGTGTAAGCCGCAAGTGGAAGATTAAAGTGTTGGAACAGTATCGTGTTGTTTTTCCAGTCGTCCATTTTCTGCTCGCCGTGTGATGTCGGTTTTGTGAGATGGCAGCGAGCGTGCGATGATGCGAGCCAGTAGAAGATAAAAGAAAGTCATCGCAACATACATTTAATATTCTCGATAAATATTCAACGACAGGCCACTGGGCTGACAGCTTAGCTAGCCCCTGTTATACCATAGCTCTCTAAGCAGACAAGTCGTAATTGTAACGTACTCGAAGTGTATGTTGAGACAGATTTACCCCGTGCAGAGTGGCAAGTATCGCTTAAGAGGTCCCATGCAGTTACCGTCCTTTGGATGATTTATCTAGGTGATGCTGCTGTGTTGGGAAACGAGAAGGCAAATGTACTGGCTGGTTTTGCGCCACTTAGTGGTAAATCGAGGTATGACAAGCTACATGTTGGGAGCGCCCTTTGGGAGCGAGTGAACAGTCCGGATGTACAACAGATCATAACGGTTTGAGTAGAATGGCACTGTGAGGAGTTACCAGGAGATCTGGCCGACTCTCGACAGATGTACAATCAGGCATTTACTGGTGCCATCGGTACTGTAACTCTTTGCTTGCTGCTGAATAAGGGGGCGGAGCGCTTATGGGTGTGTCCTGTGTGTTATGTTGTCGATTCTTAAATCAACATTAAGTTTCTTGAAACAGATAAAAAGAGAAAGATTTGTAGATGACATTCTAATAATAACTGCTGACAAACAGCAAGCCACTGCGTTCCATACAACCATGAACCAGTCACACAGAGACATCACATTATCGTTACAACACAAACATGACGGCACTTTACCATTCCTTGATGTACCATGAACCAGTCACACAGAGACATCACATTATCGTTACAACACGAACATGACGGCACTTGACCATTCCTTGATGTACTTATTGCACGTAGAGAGGATAGCAGTATTCAAAGATCAGTGTACCGAAAAAGAACATGGACCGGCCAGTATCTAAACTTTTACAGTTTTGTACCTGTTCAGTACAAACGTGGCGTAGTTAGAAGCTTGTTCAACCGGGCCAGAAAGATTTTGCAGACACAAAAGACACACTGGCTGCAGAAATTAAAACTCTCAATTCAACTTTACTACTGAATGGGTACCCCATAGGTTTCATCAAACGTCACTGCACCTAAACCAACCCTACCCCGAACGAAATTACAGTATCCAAACTACGAGTATATATCCAACTTACTTATCGGGATGATAACGTCATGCAGCGTCTGCACGACCGACTGAAAACAGCAGTTGGCCAAACAATTTTTGCTGCTGTTCCAGTAGTGAGGTACAAGACCACTTCTATCCCAACCCCACCTATTAAACAGCTCCTTTCTCCGTACACTAAATCTAATTGTATTTACCAATTTACATGTAAGTGCCAGTTGACTTACATCGGTCGAAAGGAAAGACAGCTTGGAAATAGAGTGGCAGAGCACATACCCAAATGCATACATACACAGCTCAGTGATTCTTCTTGGGTGTCGAGACCAGTCAAGAAGAAAGAACCCGCTTCTTTGAATATTTCATAATATTTAACGGCCTCAAAGGTTTCCCCTCTGTTTATTTATAAGAATTTCTTCCATAGAACGTCATCTACGTAATTCCGGACACATAATTGACACAGACACTGCTTTCCGTGTGGTTTACCACACTCCGAACAGGAGAGTTTTAAGAATCGCCGAAGCCTTTAACAATATAAATCAACAACCCCCTCCTTTGTAAGCAGACGGAATTTATCGTAAATTTGAAGTTACCATGGTAAGTCGCGTGACTACGGTGAGCTTCCGGCCGCAATGAAACAGAGACAATGTATCGAAGAAACTATTCGCATTTAGGTTTAATATTTTCAGTTTTGTGCTTTACGTTGATGTAACTCTGTAGTAATGCACCTGATGAGATACAGCGAAATATGCCTGGCAATAAATTTTGCAATGTAGTGTTTGCATCCGCATTATTTAAAAAGAGAAAGCACGAATAAATAATGTTTAGAAACACTTACCTTTAGCTGTTATATGAATGACAATGGACCAACATAAGATCAACAATATCGCAGGCTTCATTGCTCCTCTGAGAGAAAGGGGTACAACTATCAATGGAAGAGAAACGAACACTTAAAATCATATTCAACATTACCATAAAACACGGTTATGACACACTATCACGTTAAAAAAAAAAATTCCTGTTTTTTTATTGTAACATCATTTCTTTTCTTGCTCTTTTTCGAACTGTATGGCGTTGATAGCAATGGTTGTCCGTCGCCTTCTATCTAATGTACTTTCAGTCCATGCCATAATGTCAGACAGTCTAGTATCTTCTCTTTCAACCTGCCTCTGACTCTGCTAGCCCCAGACTTTCCCACTGTCACCATATACTCAAGTTTTTTCTTTCTCATGACGTAACCAAAGAATCTTTAACGTCTCTGTCTGGTGAAGATAATCAATTTTCTTCGTGAGTAAATTTCTTTTAAGACATCACAAACTTTTTATTTTTTGTCTTTACTTATTTACTTTTTTTTTTTAAATAGAACGTGATAAAAGGACTTACGTTGAGCTGCAGTAATAGTTGATGGTGTTTAGTGTCCAACCACATAAAACTCACTTGCCCTTATTTAACATGGGATCGCCCACTAATCAAATGCTATAAAGAAAGGGCATAGACAGATTATCTCTAGAAAGCAATTACTAGACATATTGACCTGACTGGGTCGCCATTTAACTTGACACTAGTTAGGACATCACACTGTCATGTATTTTACCATATCAATATTTCTTGGACATGTTATATAGATAGAAGTGTACTGTACATGTGTGTATGTGTGTACGTATTTATCATTAACGCCCACGGAAGCACAGACAAACATGCTACTCTTCCTGGCTTTCTCCCCACACCTTGACACCTTGCCCTTTTCCAACCATGCTATTCTTCTTTCCCCCACCAAGTTGGCTCAGTCCATTTTCTTTCTGTCTGTAGGAGTTTTTTAAATTGGTAAAATCTATCCTGTCTCCTTGTGATTGGAAAGTTTTCTGTTTTTCTCACTGATTTTTCTACTCTACTCAAAGAAAACTTCAAGACGAATGACCAATTTTCTGATACACCTGCATTCTCCATCGACAACCAGGGATGATAGTGGGCGACAAAAGAGCCGAATCGATCACACTTTCAACGTGGCCCAACCTAGTGCCAGGTTTAGTGACTTGACAACCGTTCAAACATACCAGCTCAGCAGATACGAGGGTCTCCTAAACATATTCCCTCTATTTGCTGGTGACGACATTGTCCCACTTGTTTCCTCTAGCGTTAAAGTCCCTGCAATAGAAGATGTTTCCTTCACAGGGTGCAAGGTAAGCACTGCTACAGACCAACATCGACCTTCTTGTTACAAGCGTAAACATTGATGATCGTCAACTGGGCGGGGCCAACGCTTAACTGCGCTCACCTGCAGGATGTCACTGTTCCATTCAGACATGTTAACCTCAGATACAACGAAGCTGTCGCGATACAAAAATGACCTGTCCAAGGTGTCTCCTTCTTAGAATCACCGAAAAACTGCTGTGGTGACTGTATTGTCGCCTAGGCATATTTCCTGCAAGTCTACGATGTAATTGAGGTAAAGGGGCTTTTCACCCATTGGTCGCCTTTGATTTAACGACGCACCTTTCCAGTTTAGTATTCGAACATACACAGGCACAGTCCGTCATATTTTAAACATTAAAGCATAAACCAACACGATTGACCATCTTTGTTTGGTTGCCATGAGTGAAATATAATCAAAGACTGCGATTGAAAAGCCGATAGGGAACTGGAAACTCGTGCACGAACTCCGTAGCATGGACCAAAACACTTGTCCGCTTTAAAAGCATCACATTAAACCTTATCTGGGGGGGGGGGGGGTGGTGTAGGGGTAGAACCTTTCATCCTAGGGGACATAAAAAAAAGTCCTGCTATCTTTTTTGTTTAGACCGGATCTTGTTTTACGGTTTCATGCGGTCATCATCATCATCACCATTATTCCGTAACACTACGTGTCGTTGGGTCACCAGTTTCTGTTGACTGTCTTATCAGCTCTCTCCACTTTTGGCGGTCAGTTGCGGTGGACTTCATGGTTGCTTGCCTGAGGCCTGTCCAGTCAGTCAGCTTCTGTACCCAGGTCTTTCTTGGTCTGACTCTTTTTCACCTCTACTGAGCAGTATTGTTTTTCAGAGGCCGTTAGATCTTATCACATGTCCATGCCATTTCACTTTTCGACTTTTCACTGTAGTTAAAAGAGGTTCACAATTGCCAATGCGCTGTATAATTGTATGCCGAACCTCTTCGTTTGTAATGTGGTGTCTGTATGATGTGCCAATAATTTTTGTCTGAAACAGCACATTTATAATGCTTGTATTACATGTATATTAAAAAAGCTTGTTTCATGGATTGCTGATCTTGATTGATTATGTTTTCAGCAATTCGAATATATAACTGCATGGACAAAGCTTGAATGAAGAATTGAATTTACACATTGAAGAAAAATTAAGACATTGTTTGAGAATACAGTATTTTAATTACCGTTTTATTTTAATTAATAGTGTTTCGAGATAATTGGCTAGCAACTTTCTTTGCTGTGCAGTAACGATGTCAGTTGTCGCAGGGACTAATGTAGTCGTTTGGGGCGCCCTCCAGCGGTTCGCTGTCGAAGAAATGTTTAAATAGACAGAATGCCATAAAGGGAGTTAGCAATCAAGTGTAATGACTAACTGATTGAAGAACTGATATTTTAGCACATCGGGATTACCGAGACGTGCTCCATCTCACGCAGCAAATGACCTGAGGTGTCGATTCTAATTGTTCCCCTAACATACTGATTAAAAACTCCTCGTTCTGTTTCTTTCACAAGTCCCTCCTTGCTCGATCCACTCCTCATTCATCGTTCACTCATTCATACACATGTTATTTCATCAAGCCTCATATAATCTCTCAGCATCCGTTCATCAATTCTTTTACAAGTGTTAATCGAGCATGAATCTCTATTGAAGTCTTCCTCTACTTTACGACCCCACAACACCTCCCTAATCGACTATATTCTTCTTTCGACTGTGATATATTTTCTACGTGACCACAACTACCCAAATAACCAGACCTGTATATTCCTTAAATGCTGAATATTTTGAAATTGACTTTATATTAACAAGCTTACAAGAAATAAGAAGAATTCTTGATGCAAGAGTAACCCCTAAATACAGGTCTGTGTGATACCGACAAAAAGATAGTTGTGATGACAGCAAAATATCTCGTCTTCAAGAAACACCAGAAGAAAGTAACTAAAAATCATGATCTCAGCCGGAGAGCAAGTTTGAAACAAAACAGAGTAAAAGAACAGTTACAGAAGAAAGTAGAGACAGCGTTCAAACAACTATCGCAATGGTTACAAGCCATTGTAACCATTTGGCGTGGTTACAATATCCATGTCTAGACATATATATATATATATATATGTATGTATATATATATATATATATATATATATATATATATATATACCCACATATATATATATATACACACACACACACACACACATATATATATCTGTACAAATACGTATGTGTATAAATACCCTTTGGACATTCCTACACGTGCTCTGTATCCACAGAAGAAAATAACGAAGATTACCCATAAAGATGGTGCCGGTTGCAATCTGAATATGTTTTCCAATATCTGTTCATCGTCCCCTGACTGAATCTTTTGAAGTATGCATAGTCTATTAGATTTCACTATCTATATGATCTCAATGCCAGCCTTTAATACGATGATCATGAAGTTTTTTTGTATAACACTTGCGACCGGCGTTTTGCTGCCACATCTCACGTCGAGTGCCGATTGGTCTATCACAGGTCTATATGACAAAAATATGCTTCTTAAATGCGTGACAAAGGATCCCATATAACCGCTCAGACGACATTTAACCGTCATAATTTTGAATCGTCAACACAACCAAACAAACAATACAATTATGGTGATAACTTTCTTGGTAGAAAGGACGTACCCTGTCGACTTGTGCTGAAAGACATAAGGGGCAGCTGTATGTTTCTGGCCGGTGTTGGGAGGGTAGGTCACCGTGACAAAATCACAAGCGTAGGTTATGAGCATGTTTGGATGTTCCTGGAAAAAAAGTATCTTTGTAATTACACACACATTGATCGGTGTGGGGATTGGAAGGTAGTGGGTTCGCTCCCTGGCGAGGCCAGACGTTTTTCAAAAATGACTTTGACTCCAAGGTCGACCTAGCCTTGAGTGGGTGCCGGGTGCAGTCCCGGAAAGTAATGGTGGCCAGCGTAAGGCTGATCACATCACCTATCTTGTGCTGATTGGTCTTTTAAAATATAGGTCCAGCTCTAGATGCCCTATCCGCCTAAAGGCGTGGAAAAGGGACCTTGACTTACGCCCGCCTTACTGTGCGTTGAGTAAATGTTTCTATTTTTCATATGTAAATCTATATGAAACTAAGATTCGAATGCTTAGAACACTAGTTATTAGTACATTTACATATTGCTATGAAACGTGGACTTTAACACTTGAACTTAAAACACAGATACAAGCATTAGAAATGTAATGTCAGAAACATTCTTGGCATATCATACAGAGACACATTACAAACGAAGAGGTTCGCCATAAAATTATACAACACATTGGCAACTGTGAACCACTTTTAACTACAGTAAAAAGTCGAAAAATACAGTGGTTTGGACATGTAATAAGATCTCTATGACTGACTGGACAGGCACTAGGGATGCAACAATGAAATCCATTGCAACTGACCGCCAAAGGTGGAGAGAGCTGACAAGACAGTCAACAGAAACTAATGACCCAACTTTACGTTGTGTTACGGGATGATGATGATTTCTAAATCTGTATTCATTTATTCATTGCCCTGTTGGTCATCAAATATTTCACTGAAAAAAAAAAAACACAACACATAATAAACATATTTATAAAGAGTAAATAAATGAAAAATTCAGAGGCAAAAGACAATTTAACTAGTTAGGCCACAGTGAAATACATGATCAAGTATACCCATACTGTGTAAAAATGTATGTGTTTCGAACAATGTGCAGACATCATAGAATTAGGAAAATAACATAAGGAAGTGAGTGGTCTAACGGTTTTTACAACAGTTAGGAAGAAGAATGTTCTATACTGACAATACATGTCATAGTTTTTACACAAACACTTTACTAGAACACAAATCTGGAGCAATAATTTATGAACGTCCCAAACATAATTTAAATAAATTGTCAGCAAATATGTGTGTACTTACCCCATTTTCAGTATACCTACAGTTGGGATACACCGCAACCATCAACCCTTTACCCCAGATCTCAAATGAAGCCACACACTTGTCATCGCTCTGGAGTTGTTCCGGTTTCACCTGCGAGATCTTGTCCAGATCGTAACTTCCGAACCTTTTACACAATTTCGAAAAGTAAAATAAAAAATGTGTCTGTATATGTACATATACAAATTATAAACATGCACACGCCTGTTTGTGCCAGGCCACGCAGGCGTGAAGGAAATTAGCAAAATAATAGGTTATAGTGCCGCCAAGCAAAACAGACCTGCAATCAAAGATTTGTATCTTGCACCATTAGTGCCGGGAATGGAAAGCTAGTGATACAAAGTCTGAGGTGCAACAGCTGATCAATGACAATTTACGACCAGGTGGCATCATAATATACACAGATGGGTCTGTGGTGAGAGGCAAATAGATTTGGTGGGGTTATATTGCAAGGTGGATCGCCTGAACAGGGAGAGATTGGCGTGCACTGTCTTCTTCTTCTTGACGTCCTATTTTACCAATATGGGTGTCGAGGGAGATATAAGGTCCTGCCTTGTGATTTTCTGACTGCTTCAACCATAGACACATCGTGGTGCCGTAGAGTTTGCCTGAAGTTATCTTCCCTTTTTCTGGTCACTCCTACAGTCTTTCTCAGACACCTCATTTCTATAGTTAGTAATTTTCTTTGTTTTGCTGTGAGTGACCACGTCTGGCACCGGTAGCATAGGTTGGGAATAAATATGCTTTGTATGAGATGTTTCTTTGTGCTGACTGGGATTTCCTTATGCTGTAAGATGGGACTAGCTGTTCCAAAACTTGACCTGCTTTTATGTCTATTTCTTCGTCCAGTTTACCATCTACAGAATCTTGTTCCAAGATAATTAAACTGAGATACTTGTCTAATAATATATGTATGCTCTAATGCTATGTTTAAACCCTGCTTCTTTCTTCCTATAAACATTTTTTGTGTCTTTTAAATGTTGATTCTCATATTAATTGATTTACATTCTTCAGTTCATGCTTTCAAATTCATGGCTGTATCTGCAATCATCGGCAAAAGGTAATTAGTTTCCGTTACTATTATTTTTGTAACTAGACATGGCATCCTTGCTTATACTGTCAATGTAGGCGATAAACAGGAGTGGTGAATAGTCAGATCCTCTGTCTTACTCTTTTACAAGGTCACCACATCGAATATGAGAATGGAGGTAGAGGCAGTGACGTTTCAAAAGCCGCACAGCCCGACATGTTGTGTTTGTAACAGTTTCATAGTGCATGCTTAAAAAAATACAAACGGGTAACTTAAGATCAAAGATCAAGAGAATATCATGGATTTTCTATCCATGAATGTTCAGGTGTGCCTGGTAACGAGCAGGCTGATAGATTAGCTCGTGTCGTTCTTGTGGGCAGTTCGCTGCTATATAATACAGCGGATGTGGCGAAGGCTCTATGGGAATAAGTAAACAGTACACACACACACAAAAGATAGAGAATCCATACACTGAAAGACTAATCTAAACGGCGTGGTGGAGGTGGGGGGGGGGGGAGAGAAAAAAAAAAGGGGGGGGGAGGAGGAGAGGTTCAACATTAGGGGTAAACGTAGGGGTACAATGATCGATCGATACATAACTCGAAGCATAGTTTGCTGAGATGTCTTCAAAATAACTTAAAAAAAACAGGGATTTTTGTGCTCAGTGAAATTATTTCATGAGCTCAGACTGTTAAGCTACTTACTTGATATCAGAGTAATCAGTAAAATTGTAAAGTTTCATAGAAACAGTGTTGCCAGGTCCCTCCGTAACTATACCCAAGTTAAAGAACTTGATCACTCCACTAGTGGCTTGTTCAATGAACAGCGTAATGTTCTAGAAAACAAATGAAATACAGTAGAACCTCGCTTAACGAGCACCTCTCATAACGAGTAATTCGCATAACGAGCAAAATAAATTGTAAAAGAATGACTCGCTTAACGAGCGACGTTTCGCATAACTAGTGGCGAGGAGAGGGGAAGTCATGGATTGTGCGCATGTTACATCAGTCTGTGTTTAGCACTTGTTCCAGTAGCATCGTAGTGTCGCTTGTGATCACACATTTTCTCAAACTTGTGTTATATTGTGATATATGTACATGAATCCTCCAGGGCTACAAGATCACCTCCCTGATGAATTTAAGTTAATCAAGATCCAGTTTCTGCCTCCCAACACCACTCCGTTACTCAAGCCCATGGACCAGCAAGTTATTTCTAACTTAAGAAGCTCTACACTAAAGCACTCTTCGAGCATTGTTTTGAGATGACTGAAGGAACCAACCTCACTCTCAAAGAGTTTTGGAAAAATCCCTTCCACATCGTTGCCTGCCTCAAGATGATCGACAAGGCGGGGCAAGGGGTTACCAAGAGAACCCTAACTTCTTCTTGGAAGAAGCTTTGCGGGAGAATGTTGTCGATTTGTGACTTTGATTGGTTCGAGGCAGTACCTGTGGAACCTGTAGTCAACGAGATTGTGTCTTTGGCCACTATCATGGGATTGTAGATGGATAACACTGATATCGATGAGCTATTGGAAGAGCACAACCTCGAGCTGATTATCGAAGAGCTTATGGAGTTGCATTGTGTTTCACAGCAAGAAGTTTTGGAGGAAATTTTGTCAGAGGAGGAGGAGGAGGAGAAGGTAACAGAAAAGCAAAAATCTTCTCACATTGAGAAGCATCACCCTAATAAGGAAGTGGCCATGCGAGCTAAAAATTTAATGATAATGCTGTGTCGCATTTTTGCCAAATTTTGAAGCGTCAACAAAAACAAATGTCTCTGGACATCTTTCTAGTAAAAAAAAAGTATAATTAGCTATGTATCATAATCATTTCGACTTTTTTTTTCTGCAACTCGAATTCGCATTTTATGTGGGTTCGTTCCGCCTTTGAAGACATGATGAAGATGATTCACTCTCCTTAAATATATATATATATATATATATATATATATATATATATATATATATATATATATATATATATATATATATATATATATATATATATATAATTTTATTTGAATAAATGTTATAGTATAACATATACATAACATTTTCTAAGTATTTTTTTTTTTTGAAATGGAACGCTTTATCGTATTTTTATATTAATTCATATGAGAAAAATACTTCGCATAACGAGTGTTTCGCTTAACGAGTTTGATTCTGGAACGAATTATGCACGTTAAGCGAGGTTCCACTGTAGTTTATTGAATCGTAGGACTTTTGGCAATATGCACAGTTGTTTCTTCGCCTCTTTTTCTGTCCCCTTCTTTTAGTTTTCCCTTGGGGTGTATTTCAACCATAAGGTAAAGCACAGTAGCTGAGGTAATTGTCGTTATTGTTATATCATAGGTGGCATTTGATCTGCGTGTTTCCTCGTGGGGGTTCCGGGGCCTCATTTGCCCCCCCCCCCCGCCCCCCCTCCCCACACACACAAACACTCAAAAAAGAGGGAGAGGGGATAGATCATATGCCACTTAACATACATGACGTACAATACAACAAAGGATGTGTCCTTCGTCATCGGAGTGCATCTGAGTGCATCTGGCTGAGAGGCGAGGAAAAACAAATAGTCTGCCTATAAATAAGCTAGATCTGTAAAACGCATGTACACACACATCTCAAGTTCTGGAACGAGACCAGTTTCCACAAGTGGACGAAACAACCGGAAATTTCTCTGGAGATTATAGCCGGTGACCACAAAGAAAAAGATCCGTGATGTTATTATTATTTTTGTTTTGCCATGTATTTGATTCTGGCTGTTATATGTATGTTTGTATTTATAATTTGTCTTGAATATAATCCGTGCTGTAATCTGTCTCTTTGTTTCCTGTTTAGCATTTGACTAAAACTTGGGTTATGTTTTTTGTTTTCTTACCCTAGACGTACTTCCATGTCGTGTGCTCTATATAATTGTACGCTGGCCTCATGTTTATATATATATATATATATATATATATATATATATATATATATATATATATATATACATATCGTACGTTTCTACAACGAGCGTATACAACATGCCCATCTGCTAGCTCCACCAAGTCAAATTACCTTGAATCCCAAGCCGACTCAGCCTACAATCGGTACCCGGTTAATTAAGTCCTGTAATTGAAGGTGGCTGGAGTAAAGTTGACCACATCCTTAATCGAGGTTATCGGGAGTCATTTGGCCTATAAAAATATGAATCCAGCATCACTTACCAGGTACTCTAGGTTAGCTGCGTATCCTTTACAGGACGTTGCAGAACCAACCTCAACAGCCCTAGGCTGTGGTGTGGTTTTTCTAGGCAAATTTACATCCAGTAGGTTGCCATACCAGGTACTCTACTGTCATGAAATGAGTTCTTCATTCTACCTGCACATACTGATAGAACAATTTATATATAACAATGGCAATTAAGGCTTGAAAAAGAAGTATATAAATGCCTACGAGTGGAACAAGCAGGATTCAGAAAGGGCAGAGGAACAACTGAGCACATCTTCGCCATACGGAAGATTTTAGAACAATGCAACGAATGGCAGAGAAGTATTTATATTAATTTTGTGGACTTTGAGAAAGCTTTTGACAGCGTTCATAGAGAAGGTCTGTGGAAAAATTTATGACATTATGGAATTCCAGAAAAATTAGTCAACATAATTACTCTCTTCTATAAAGACTTTTCCAGCAGTATAAAAAATTACAATACATCTTTCCCAGTAAAGACGGGTGTAATACAGGGATGTGTTATGTCATCTCTCCTCTTCAACCTTGTGATTGATTGGATACTAAAGAACACAGTAGACAGGACATTAAAAGGCATACGATTTACTCCATTCACCATGCTTGAGGACCTTGATTTTGCAGATGGTATAGCACTCCTATCCCATAAACATGAACATATACAAGAGAAAAGTAACAGACTAAACTGCACAGCAGAAATGGTGGGACTGAGAATAAATACAAAGAAAACTAAGATCATGACAAACAGTCCAAACCAACAACCAGTGACCATAAGTAACCAATCACTTGAAAATGTAGAACATTTCACGTATCTTGGCAGTGTGGTGTCCCTACTGGGAGGGGCAGAGGAAGACATACAGTCACGTCTGAACAAAGCCAGAGCTGCTTTTGGAAGGATGAGGCAAATCTGGAAATCCAACAATTACTGCAGATGAACGAAACTCCGACTCTACAAGAGCATCATTTTGCCAGTTCTTCTATATGGAGCGGAATGCTGGAGAATGACCAAAAAGGATGCACACAAGCTGTCCACCTTCCACCACACATGTCTACGTAGAATTATCAAAATTTTCTGGCCAGATACAATCTCAAACACTAAACTACTTCAAGCCACAAACCAAGAAACTTTAGACAGTATGATTACCAAGAGAAGATGGAAATGGCTTGGCCACGTTATGAGAATGACTTCTGATATACCTGCCAAAACAGCTCTCACATGGACACCAGAGGGAAAGAGAAAACAGGGGCGCCCAAAAACAACATGGAGACGAACGATGGAAAGTGACCTGAGTGCGGCATCTTTGACATGGAAAACTGCATTGAAGATTGCACAGGACAGGAAAGCACGGAAAGTCCTCTCTGAAGCCTCGTGTGCCACTAGGCATAACGAGAACTGATGATGACTGATGAATGGCAATTAAATACTGGTGTCTAAGGAACGTGACTTACTGGTTCTAAAGAGGGCACATGGACACGTCGAGCCCTGGACTGAATCAAGTCGTACTCCTGTCCCTTTAGGTGAACTTGAACTTTATTATCAAAATCACCAGTTGCGTACGTCAGAAAGTCTAATACATTCTTGGACAACTCTGTAAACATTAATATATATAACATCCACAACTGCCTTGGATAACTGTATGGTGATAGATACAGTATTCAGAAGTTTCTTAGAAAACCTTGTGTAATGACAGACACAGTATCTTTAACTTTCTTTGACAAGTCGGTGTAATGATGTATTTATAATGATAAATATATATATATGGACGGTCTTGCACAAATTTGTATAATGAGAGATACTGTATCTGGAATATTTTTTGGTAAAAGATATGTTATGTCGAACTTTCTTGGACATTTCTATGTGATGATATAAATATATATATATATATAAAGTATCTAGGATAGGTGAATGCGTGGGTACAATGATAGACAGGGGGACTACACACTTTTTATGTAAGATTGCGTACAGATATATATATATAGTATCTATTAGGAAATATGGTTGAATGTCAATGTCACAAGAGCGGCGAAACGTACACACAGTCAGACTGTATCTGTTCTATCGGAATCGAAACACTAAGCTTGTTTCTGACGATAGGGACGGGGCTATGCAATGCTATGATGTCAGCTCCTTACCCATAGCTCTTAGCTGACATAATCTCTCAAATGTTGACTGATCTTTCGAAATATGAGTCCACGCCTTATACCTCTTGCGCCAAACTTGTTGAAAAGGTCTCTTTGTTGTTTAACTTACTAATTAGACTTACTATTTCCTGTTAACTATACCGTGCTGTTCCGTCAAATTTGCGGTGCTTTCCCTCAGACACCAAACATTTTAATATATAATCATACTGTGGAACCTTGTTATAATGTATATATGGGGCTGCGTGATCTCGAGGCATGGTGTTCCCCTAGAGTGCTGGGGGTCCCGGGTTTAAGCCTCGACGGCTGACTTTTTTTTCATGTGGATTTCTAGTAATCCCCCCCCCCCACCCTGATAGTAAGGCCGGACCCCCGTGTGTATTGTTGCGCACGTAGAAAAATCCCTAGGCAGTTGAAATCGAAAAGAGTAGCCTAACTGGGCTGCCCAGTCAAAATTTGGAGATAAAAATCTACCCAACGTATTTCAGGATTCTCGCTGGTGCTGCAGAGTTCGTTCATTGCGCTGAGACTCTTTGAACTCAGGCTTGAGTTAAAAGAAGAACGGAGCACTTATGGGTTACACCCGTGTGCCACGATGATGATCCGTTGTTCAAACATAAACATATTATTATGTACGTATATCTGAATGGCAGATTACTTAAAGTTGATGTTGTTCCGTCCCTCTAAATAATGTCATCGACCTTTCAAACCTGGGAAGCTTTTACATTGTTTAAGAGCACTCACCTTCGGCTGTCGTTTGTACGACGGCAGACCAATACAAGACGAGTATTAACACACTCCTCAT